CAAGTTAGCTCAAAAGTGTTTAATTTACACTTAGTCTTACATGTACATTTATACACCGTTGTGTAGGTATTAAATTACCCTATACAGGTATGTATTGGTTTTTATCGTGTCCAACATGGATCACGAGATAGAGGACAATAAGTAATAGAAAGAGCACCGAAACACGAGGCTATCTGATTTGTACGAGGGGGCGTAGCCCCCGAGTATTAATCAGATTGCCGAGTGTTTCGGTGTTCTTTCTCTTTTGTATCATAGTCAAACATAAAAGCACGTTCCCTGTTGTCACAATATGAAACCCCGGAAAAAATGAACCAATGAACGAACATCTGAATATGACATTTCTGTCGCTTTCCCTTTCTCTGCCGTCACAATATGTAAACCCCAGCAAAAATGAGCCAATCAATGGGCATGCTCTGGAGTGCGGGTAACTAATACCCGCACTCCAGTTAACGCACTGTGCATGTATATGTATACGATTTAACCCTGACACATTTTCAACAGAAAGGTCTCCAAACTATGATACAAGCAATTATTTTCGAACAGCCCTTGTAAGCCCTACGTAGGAGGAGCAAACTTCTGTTTAGGCTTTTTGTTTCTCCTACCGCGTAGGAATTACAAAATACAAATAAAGATTTTCTTATCTCTTGCGTAGAAGTTACAATGTCTTAATTAGGCTTCATTATATGTCCTACGTAGGAGTTATTCCTTTTTGTAAAATATTAAGAATTGGCTTTAGGACGCTTCAGTAACTTATACATATAGATATTTGTGCTTTTTAAAATAAATGTGATCTGGTCATATTCTAGCCATCAATGAATCAGACAAACGATTTCGGTATCGGTATCTTAACATTCAGCAAAAGTTTGTTTAATGAGCAAGAAACTGTAGAAAACATGACATTTCTCCTATATCCTCCGCCTACCACGATCACGCCATTGGATATAAATAAAACGGATACAAAAAAAAGAAGTTTTTTTTCCACTATTCTTTTAGACAAATGAACTGTATATGAGATCAAGGCACTTTTCCGCTCTTTGACCTTGTGTAGTTACTAAAAGTTAACAGGCTGTATTATCAAAGCCGCTAGCTGAGTGTTTTGCTTTCATATTTTAGAGCAAACGATCATTTATAAACGGTGAATTAAATTTTAAAGAATCTTTTCTACACAATATATAGCTTTATTTGTTCAATTTAGAACATCATTATATAACCTGTAGACAAGTGTTTATAAAGCATTAAAGCAACTTGATTGTTCAATAATAAAATACCCAGTAATACCAGGGTATGTTATCCCGAGTATTGTCGACAGTACCAGTGCGTCACTTCAAATGAGAGTGCGATAAATTGAACTTGTTTTTTCTTTGGTTATATCTGTATTATAATATTATTAAGAAAAAATATATCAAATTCCAGCAATACATAACCTTTTAATTTTTCTTTTGTATTTTTTCAAGTTATTCGTGCATAAGTTCTTACATCAACTATAGCACATTGTTATTTCATATCTTTACCAAACATGCCAAAATAATGATGCATTGAGTTAGGATAATGGAAAAAGGACAAGGGCAACAAACACTTTCAGCAAAATTTCATATGCGTTGTGAATTGATGATATCATTTGCATGGCAGGGTAAAGTTAATGTAAACATGTATTTTTCAAATGTTCTCTAAAAAGTATGTTTTAGCGTATATAGATATAAGACCTGGGCTTAAATTCTGATATGAAATAATCAGATGGGGATCGAGCCTTGAGACCGCCAACCACGTCAAATCCAAAAAATCTTTTCGTCTCGATAATAAATGCAAGCTACCTACCACATATTGATCCCCTCCCCCCCCCAAAAAAAAAAAAAACAAAAAAAACTCAACATCATAGTTTGAAATAGCGTAATTTATACTGAGTAGCGTTTACAAATATGTCATATATATAGGTAAAAACGGTTCTCGTTTATCAGTATTATATACTTATATACTCTTGTTCATTAACAGCGCTATATTGTCATATTTATCAATTTCGCTTCCTAGTGTATCTTAAGTACTTAAATTATAAACACCTAATGTGATTCAAGATATATTTTAAACACACAGTCATGATTAATATATCCATACTGATCCTTACTTTACCTTTCAATTGATTTTTGTTTGTAGCTGTTTGAAGGATCATCTACCCAATTCAATTGATCTTAAATACTTGGTTTAAAGCAGAATTTTACGATTGCTTTCACTTTTACTGAATTTTCTATGTTTGAGATGTCATCTTACACTCCCATCGCGTAATATGTGTCACATTCTTTCAAATGGCGTCTTCATCGATGACGTCATTCTGCCGTTATTCATTCCGAAAGAAGTCGAAGTTTCATACGCTAAAATTTGCTAAATGAAAATATAAATTTTTGTACTAAAGTTGATTAAAAGACGATATCTTTGAGGTAGATGCCCACTGTATTAAGACCAAAATCATTCTATTCGACCATACTTGGAGCACTTTTTACGTCATATTATAGATCTACGTCATACTCTACGCTTTGCTGAAGGTCATGTGATTACAACATGGTAGTTAGGCAACCGATGAGGAAATCGTAAAACATCGGCTCTTCTCGTATACTTTTTTTTCAATTTATTAGAGTCCTTTTAACAGAAAAAATAAACAATGGCTAAATTTTGAAATTTTACAACTGACACCATAATATACACAAAGAAAATGGCGGACTCAAGTAACTAAAGTAGTTCCAATATGTCGCCTTATAATGTAAGAGGTCTATTGCGTAGCATATTAGCCGATAAGAGCAAATGGCTGATAAAAGGTCGGCTAAACAGAAGATATTTGATTTAAACTAGGGTTCCGTAATTCTAAATATCCATTTTACTAATAAACGTTTATATACGACCAGTTATTTGATAACTAGACTAGAAGAGACATTTCAAGATGTATGTATTTTTAAAATGAAAAAAGAACGAAATGGATGTGTTTAACTTGCTCATTGGCATTTAGTATATGTATATGGAAAATACCGCCGACTTTAAACTACTTTAAGCGTTTAAGCGCAACAAAATCAACATTTAAGTAACGTTTATCACTTTGATAACATCTACTTTTTTAACACTCCTCATTTTAATTCTTCTTGTTTTATTTGTATTTCTTTTAAACAGATAGAATAAGACAGGATCTTTAATTTTAGCACAGGAAAATGGCGCATGGAGCCGCCGGAAGTGGGTATGGAGCTAGCGGAAGTGACGGTAAGATAGTCATATTGAAATGATTGTACATGAACTTTTATTAAGTTCTTTTTGACCCAATATTTTTAGATTTGATGGACTGACATTAACTTTTTGAATAGTTTGTGTAAGCCATTTTATGTACGCTTTTACTAAGTACATTTAATACATTTTCATGTACTTTTTTCCCTTTTGCTATTAAAAATGGTAATGATTTAAAGGTTTTTCATTTTACATAAACCAAATCAAAATGGTTGAAAATAACTGTATAAGTAAGTAGTTAATATAAAGTTACGTAAAAAAAGTCGGAGTCATATCTTTCCATACTTAATACTCAAACAACGATTTAGAATTTGATGATTACGGTGATTGCATAGGTCAAAGACTGTGATACACACAACCATTGAAAAATCTCCTTACAAAATAAAATGAAGAGGACCCTTAGCGTTAAAGAAAATAGGTACGTTATAGTGTTTGGTTCGAACAATAATTGCATATACTACTTTCTTTTTATAATCTTTAAGAGCGGGACACGAAAGAGATACTAGTATTTATTTATCTTGGTAAGAAATTTGCTCAGATAAGCAATTTTTTTCTCAATAAATAAATAAATAAATAAATAAATAAATAAACAAATAAATAAAGAAATCAAATAAATCAAGTAAACAAACAAACAAATTAATAATGCGGAGGTAACAATGTATTTTCCTTGTGATACTTTCGGACACTTTTAGATCACATAATTGTTTCCAAGTTAAAATTATTATAATTAAAATGAATGTTCTATTTCTGTTACGACCATTAAACCTTAGCTTGCTTCAATGTACAGGACGGGAAACAAATTCTATATTTCACTAGTCTCCTACTGTGTGATATAATTTCTATAAATCACTTTGTCAGCGCAAAAATGAAATACATTAGATAAAATGGTATGCTAAGTATGTTAATGTTATCCTTTAAATACATAAGATTTTATCTATTGATTAAAGCAGCACGCCTCCAGACTTGTGTTTATACTAATGAAAACTTAAAAATTGTTCTAGTGAGTAAAATATGTTGTTAAGTATTGACCTAGCTTCAGACATTCAATTTCCACACATTATACCTATTACTTACCTTAACATGCAGATTTCTCACTTTATTAGTTTTTAGGCGTAAAGGGTAGAAATTTCGAGATTAATCGGTGTCAGTTTTTGTCACATTTTGATCAATTGATTCAAAGTTTTATTTCTATTGTGAACAGTTTACTCACTTTTACCTATTATATAGTAAGTTTGATTAAAAGATATGATTTACGCATTTGGTTTAATAGCTTTAAAGTCTTTCTGTCTAAGTATTCTATGACACAAATATTGTATCAATAAGGATGCACTCTTTGACTCTAGTGCCTAGATCACGACATTTAAGATAAAAACTATTCACGGCTATTGGGACATTAAAGATAAAAACTTTTCACGACTACCGGGGACAGCTGCTTATCGTTCCTACAATTAATGTACCATTAAACAAAATTAATTTCAGTAACAAATACATTTTATTAAATAGGTTTGTCAGCTGTAAGCCTCAAGTTTTTTGTGGTTTTTTTTTGGGGGGGGGGTTTGTTTGTTGTTGTTTTTTCATCATAGAAACTACCAAAATCCTATGGTGAGTAATTAGTATAAATTCAGTATTTATTCCCCACCGATATTACTTAAAACTTATCAAAACACTATTACTGTTATAATAACCACAATGTATTAAGAGCCAATGATGCTTTAACCTTTTGGCTTTTGAAAACATCTTTTTAGATCTGTAATAGAACACCAGAAATGAAAAAGCTTTGGAGAAATAATATCATTTATTTTTGTGGCTTTATAGACCTTAAGTTTATTTTGATTTTTTTTATCTTTGAAGACTGTACGGAAGACGATACAGCTCGCACGGCAAAAGCGGTGTACGAAATGCTGCTGCCAGCTCTTGAAAATCTAAACAAAAGGTTTGACGTTCTGACCTATGATAGGGACAAGTTAATACAGGACATAGAAGAAAAGGAAGCAGAGATTGAAAGTAAAGAATTTGAGCTGCGACAAGTTAGGGAACAAATAAGGATTATTGCGGCTAACAATTTGGCGACTAAGAGAGAAAAAGAATCGAAGATAAAAAAATTGGAAAGTGAACTGCAGAAATTGCGGGTAGAGTTGGATATATCTCAAAAGAACCTGCAACGCAAGGAAGATGAACTTACAGCTGAAAGAAGGAAAGGAGAAAAGAAAGATAAAAAGGATGGTAAACTAGTTAATTTTAGTTATAATTAAACGGCCATATTGGCTACCCTCTATCTGCCAAAAAATGTAAATAGTATCTAGAAAAAATATGCATTGTTTATACTGTAAATATTAACAAATTTATGTTTAAGATACTAGTATATTTATATTATTTTAATAAATGTTTTTTTCTGATAAATCAAGCTTCAGCTTTATGATTATGTCTCATAAAACACCATGCTCTTGCATAAACCTAAATATTAACATGACTTGGTATTGTCATTTAGTTGAATAGATCACATTCATAGAGTTAAACCAAAGTTGTTAATTCATAGAATTTCCATATTTTCGAAAAACACTTTAAAACCTTTCATGTGCCTGACATTGTATGTATACAAGTTTTTTCTACTAAAAGAGTCTGTAAATTTCCAGATCTTGCAACTGATCTCACAAATAAGATAAACGAAGCAAAAGAAGAAGCGCTAGATAAGAGGCGCCAAACTAAAACATATAAAGAAGAATTGCAGAAGTTAAAGAAATGATTGTGTATTAGTGAATGGCAATTATGCCTTGAACATAAAATTGAGATACTCGACCATTTTTACTTATACATCATGTGCAACACAATATCGTTGACAAAAATGATTGTATTTAAAGGTGTTTTTTTTTATTATCATCATTATTTCTGATTACTTTATATTGAAAAGCTGGTTGGAAATTATATAAAATTGTTGTGTTATATGCAGAAAAAAGTTTTATGATTAAACACGGTGCTACCTATCTCGTTAAAGATAACATTAAAGACCTCGAAAAGCAGTTGGAAACGGCAACAGCGGACAAAAAAGCTGCACACAAAGAACTTGACGAAGCAAAGGCGGCGTATCAACGAAAGAAATGTGAAAAGTATATTAAGGAATTCAAGATAAAAAACCGGAAATGATGGTTTATATTCTCGTAACGATAGTGACTTACAGTTTTGTTTCATTATTTGTTGTTAAAATATTTGAATGATTTTATATACAGTTATTGTGTTTATATCTTTTGAGACCATGGTCTATTTAGTCATATTATATGAACAAACAATGAATATCTTAACTTTCAAATACTGCTATAAAAGTATGATATCATATGTTATCTGAGGTTAATATCTTATATTAAATGATTTTCAGTATAATAATCTGAGCCTCGCCATGACAAAACCAACATAATGGGTTTGCGACCAGCATGGATCCAGACCAGCCTGCGCATGTACGCAGTCTGATCAGCGAACAGCATGGATCCTGATCAGACTGCGCGGATGCTCAGGCTGGTCTGGACCCATGCTGGTCGCAAACCCATTATGTTGGTTTTGTCGTGACGCCGCTCAATTATTATTATGATGTTCACTATTCACCTATCAAATAAGAAAATAGTTCTTCACAAAATAAATGTGCAAAATAGTAACATTTAATCTCTCTAACATTTACTTTGTTCACTCAATGAAGTTGTAAAACCATTGCTTAGTGTTCATTTGTATGTTTATAGAACATAGTTTCAAAAGGTTTTACGGAAACTTAAACGCTTTGCATAAAACCCCACAAAAACGACCATGCCAGGCGGAAATCCGGAGGCCATACTCTTTGGGGCGAGAGCTTTGTGCCTTATTATCGTATAACTGTAAATAAGAACCTCAAAACATAACTTTTTTTAAGCTGCGGTGTTCGGACGGCATAGGGTTGCTATGGAGATACATATTATCAACAAAATGAGATTTAAAAAAAAAAATCACAATACATTCATAATAGTATCAAATTCTTCTCCGAAATAGCGAAAATTCTTTATAATGTCTTGATCAATTATTAAGTTATTATCAGCGTCCATGAATATATTGATCAACCCTCGTACAAAAAAGAAAGAAAAGCAACGACAACGTAAAAATCGACGACGAAAACAACAACATAGTTCATGACTATTCAAAATTGCATTTTCCCCAATACAATAGAGAAAAACAGAATATATCCCTTAAAAGAAACCCATCACGGCAAAATTGAAAATGTCTTATCTTTTATCGGCAGTATTACCATTAACAGTAATGCTGACTGCTGATGTAATAAGATTAATATTTGGTATTGTTTATAATAAAAAAATATATTCTAGAAGATGAAATCTATACTGCTGTTAGATAATGATAATTATCTTGATATCTTATCATAACAATGCACAAGTTTTGATTTATATAGAGGATATTTGTTTGTTTTGCATGTAAGATTTAAATATAATTTCACTGAGTGAATACAAGATGCAATATTTTCACGAGTGGCGAAGCCACGAGTGAAAATATAATAGCTGGTGTTCACGAATGAAATATATTTCAATCTTATATGTAAAACAAATAAATTTTCTTTTTATTTCATGCTTTTTAAATGATTTCAAGTATCTTATTACTGATTTTGCCGCGTAACGTCGCGCATTCTCCTTTGTGACGTCATCACATCATGACGTCACGTCATCAATTTTGAAATATAGTTCTGTTAAATTTCTCTAATTTTGTTACATTTTTTAACATGATGTATGATGACATCGACTTTCTTTTCCTAAAGAAACAAAATTTACGTATGACGGCATTTATTTCTGCCTGTTTTTCCATTTAGTTATGATTTTCTTTTCATCCGCATTCAAATATAGTCCGGCTACAGTGAAAGTTATATTTTATAAATTTCACTAGTGGTTTATCGGAATATAATCATCTGATATATTACAATAAAACTCTCGAAAGCATGAAATAAAGTATGATAATGAACGTCTCAAATATTGTGTGACATTGTCGATTGTATCGTTCTATTTTAAAATAATTTAACTCCTAATATTAACTGCATATATATGCTATCATTGTAAAATGCCATATGTATGCTATCATTGTAAAATGCCATATATATGCTATCATTGTAAAATGCCATATATATGCTATCATTGTAAAATGCCATATATATGCTGTCATTGTAAAATGCCATATATATGCTGTCATTGTAAAATGCCATATATATGCTGTCATTGTAAAATGCCATATGTATGCTATCATTGTAAAATGCCATATATATGCTGTCATTGTAAAATGCCATATATATGCTATCATTGTAAAATGCCATATATATGCTATCATTGTAAAATGCCATATATATGCTGTCATTGTAAAATGCCATATATATGCTGTCATTGTAAAATGCCATATGTATGCTATCATTGTAAAATGCCAAATGTATGCTATCACTGCATCTGAGATAATAATAATAAAACACATAATTAACTAGAAATGTGTCCATATGACACGGGTGCCCCCACACTCCGCTGTCTTGTCAATCTTTTGACTCTAGGTCAATTTGTTTTGGATATACCTGCCACAAGTTGAAAACTAAAAAATCTTTACAAATACTGAATAAATCCACAAGCAAGCCCCAAGGTGCATAAGTACACATGCTGACCAACATTCTTGTAAACTTTCAAGCCTACAGGTCAAATACTTTTTGAGCTATGCATGAACAAGTTGAAAATTGCAAATTTATACTAAGTCAAGGGCAATAACTCTAACAAAACTGAAAAAAATCCACATGCAAAATTGCAGGTGCATAACTTCACAGTGATGTTGATCATTATTCTTGTAAAGTTGGTTGATTCTAACTCAAGCACTCGAAGATCAAATATTACAACATTATGGGACGGTTTTTACTAAGTCAAGGGCTATAACTCTTCAAATACTGGATAAATCTACAAGCGAAACCCAAGGTGCACAACTACACATGCTGACCAAGTTTCATGACTCTATGTCAAATTCTTATTGAGCTACGTCCGACACAAGTTGAAAATTGCAAATTTCCAATAAGACAAGGGCAATAACTCTGACAAAACAGAATAAATTCACAAGCGAAACCCCAGGTGCTCAACTTCACATTCTGAAGTTTCATGACGCTATGTCAAATACTGTTTGGAGCAAGTGTGACCCAAGTTGAAAATTGCAAATTTTTACTTAGTCAAGGGCAATAAATCTACAAATACTAAATAAATCCACACGAAAATAACCAGGTGCACAACTACACATGCTGATCAACATTCTTGTAAAGTTTCATGACCATAGGTCAAATACTTTTTGAGCTGCGTGCGACACAATTTGAAAATTTCAAAATTTTACTTAGTCAAGACCAATAACTCTACAAATACTAAATAAATCCACACAAAAAAACCAAGTCAAGGGCTATAACTCTGACAAAACAGAATAAATCCACACGTGAAACCCAGGTGCACAATTGCACACGCTAATCAATATTCCTGTAAAGTTTCATGACTCTAGGCCAAACACTTTTTTAGTTACATGCGACACAAGTTGAAAATTGCAAATTTTTACTTAGACAAGGGCTATTACTCTACAAATACTGTATAAATCCACACAAAAATACCAAGGTGCACAACAACACATGCTGAGCAACTATCATGTAAAGTTTCATCACTCTAGGTCAAATACTTTTTGAGCTACATGCGACACAAAATGAGAACGGACGACGGACTGACGGACGCCAGGGAAAATATTAACCCCCCTCCCCTCCCCCAAAGTAGGGGCACAAAAAAAAAGACGCTCAGCATATCACTATGGTGATCAAGTTATAGTTAATGGCATGAGAGCAATACGTGTTAATGTTACATCACCATAGTTCAATGGTATCATTTTATAAATAGATTTTCTACTACCTTTGACATACGAGTATATACGAGTTTATATCACTTAACATATTATTCTAAAATCAAAAGAAAGCAAATACTTTATATGGTATTTTTATTATGATATAATCAGTAACATAACATAAATATAAAGTGATATTTAACAACAAAATATGTCTTAACAGAAAAAAACAACAACAAAAAACAAAACATAACAACGTTCATTTATAACAATAATAAAAAAGCATAACAAGACAGTCGTGATAAATAAAGGACAGAACGGACAGGAACACATGGAGTGAAAAAGAGGGAAAAACTTTTATACTTTTTTATCGAGCTCACATTTGTATGAACAAGTTTTTGAAAATTCCTTTATTTCAGATAAAAGGCATCGTCAATGTTCACAAAACTCGGTGGTGATTTTAATAGTTTAGGCATTAGTTCACCTTGAATTTACCAGAGCACGGTTCAACCACCGCATCGTTCCTAGACAGGCTGTAGAGCAGTTTACCAGTACTAGTTGCCTTCACTTTTGAAAGGAACTTCTGTACATGCCGGAGCATAAGTACAGTGCGAATGACCGTACAAAGTATTTCTTTAATCACAACGAAAGTGACATGCACCGTCCGGGAATCGATCCCGAGTCGCCCGATTCACAGTTCAACGCTTTATCAATTGAGCTAACAGGGTGGAGCTTTTAACAAAGCACTTGTGTACAGTTTGTTAACGAGTCGCCCAATCAAAATACAAGCCGAAGTCCCTTGCCGGAAACTGAAGTTTGACGTGATCTATCGCCTGCTGACCAGAACAGAACAGACTATGACTTTAACTTTACCCGGAAGTGACGTAAGTCGTCTTTATGTTCCTTAAGTCAGTTACAAACTAAATCTTGTGAGCTTGACATTCTGCCCACCAAAGTATTGAAATCATTTCTCAATGAACTTTTGCCTATGATTACCCAGCTTGTGAATCTTTCTCTGACGCAAGGTGTTTTTCCAGCTAAATGGAAAAAGGCAATAGTCAGGCCTCTGTTGAAAAAATCTGGTCTTGAACTCACATTTGCCAACTATCGACCCGTCAGCAACTTGTCATTCTTGTCCAAATTGATTGAAAAAGCCGCCCTTCATCGACTAAACAAACATGTAAACAAAAACGATCTCCTTCCAACGAATCAGTCGGCCTATCGTCAGTTTCACTCCTGTGAGTCAGCCCTTCTTAGACTCGTAAACGACATTCTTGATGCAATGGAGCATCAAGAGGTTCACTGCACTGATAGCTCTAGATTTTAAGTGCTGCTTTTGATACTGTTGACCATAACATACTGTTTAAATGTTCTTGAAAGTCAATATGGCGTCTTTGATCTGCGCTGGAATGGATAGATTCATATTTGAGGCCGCGTAGCTGTCGAGTGAGTGTTAACTGCGAATGTGTCATCAGAACGGGAACTTGACTGTAGTGTCCCCCAGGGAAGCTGTTTGGGCCCTTGGC